CAGTTGGATAGATCACTCAAGTGATTCTAAATCAACAAGTAAGTGGATTTATACTCTTGCCGGAGGGGCAATTTCTTGGGCGAGCAAGAAACAAACGTGTATCGCCCATTCGACTATGGAAGCTGAATTAATTGTCCTAGCGGCAGCAGGCAAAGAGGCCGAATGGATTAGAGATTTGTTGACAGATATCCATTGATGGCCTCGATCGACTCCTTCTATACCCATGTATTGTGACAGTGAGGCCACACTGTCAAAAGTATACAATGCTATATATAATGGGAAGTCGCAACACATAGGTCTCTGACACAACTACGTGAGACAACTTATTGATGATGGTACCATAAGTATTGTGTTTGTCAAGTCTTGTGGGAACTTGGCAGATCCACTAACCAAGCCTCCGACGAGAGACTTGGTAGGGTCAACCACCAGAGACATGGGTGAAGCCACATAGAATCAGTTAGTGATGGAAACCCAACTTGGATATAGTGCTCCTATCTACCAAGTTTAAAGGGTAACAACAAGTTACTTGACTGATAGAAGGTACTATCAAATGATTGATCCATGTAAGGTGAAAGATAGTACGGGGTTGTCGAGAACAAGGATGAGTTAATCTCTTAACAAAGTTTAGAGGCATCTTAACAACGAAGATGTTATAGAACGTTTCCTATATGACTTAGAGGTGGTGTCGCCTCAAAAAGAATAGTAGTGGTTTCTCTTTTAGTAACTCATGAAACAGGGTTTAGCGCATGGCTATATCAGCGCTAAGTGAGAGAGCAAGGTTGATCGATGATGTGTGTAAGTAAGCCGGAGTGGTCTCAAGATTCAAGGTTTAAATCCTAAGAATACTATTGGATTGATCCCTTCTTGCATACTTACATTAAACAGGGTTTAATCTTAGTGACACCACTGTAACATTATCTACAATGAATGTCAGAAAACTTTCCAACCTGGTGGGGGATTGTTGGAAATTTTGTAGGTTGGAAGTTTAGCTTCCATCTTGCATTGGTAGAAAATTATTTTCTAGAGAAGCTTATAAGGCTTTCTCTAGAAATGGGCTTTGAACAAGTTGATGGACTCACGGTGGGGGTCTTGAGTGGAAGGCCCAACATACACGTGCGCGCGTGTTCGTGGCCGCGGGCGCGGGATTAGCGAAAGTGACGCGAGGAGGCGCACTTTGCGCTTCGCACGCCGCATCAGAGCAGAAGGAGCCTCGCCCCGATTATCTTTTTGGTACAAAGTCAAAAGGAGAAAGAAATAAATAACTGATTTTAAATAAAACTCGGTTTAATCTTGACTTGGTCTTATCCCACGATTTTTAGATAATGATCAATGAGGAAAATCCTCCCATGATCAACGTTTTTATGAGCTTTTCATGGAGACTTTCTAGGCTTCAACCAGTATTTAAACTGGGTTGAAGCCAACTCAAAATACACACTAAAATTTCTGATTTTTCCTCTCCTTCGATTTCTGCTATTTCTCTCTACCGTTTTCTACATACTCCGTGCTCTATATTCGTTTTTTATCGTTGTTCATAAACAAATCGTATACTGCATCAAATCCTGGGGCTTTGCGACTGGCAGACTCACAGCGTGAATAGAGTGGTCGTATAAAACCTTAAAGCTAGGTTTTACCGTGCAGATTACCATCCAAATCGACAGAAAATTAATCAGGTTGGTTTTATATTTCTCGCATTGTATTTAATTTCATGTTCACTAAGTGAACAACTCTGCTTCTACCCCTTTCTTTCATTGAATCTATTGCGAATGATAAATTCAATCTGTGTGAATTGACACTTTGTTGAGGTGTTGGTGGGTCTGAATACTAAAAGGTTTAACCTTTTGTCCATTATATAATTAAAGTTTTATAAAGATTAAATCTTTATTTTGTTTCCATCTATCTTATTGGAATATTTTTTATCTGCACAAGATGGGGTTGCTGCCATATGGAATTGTGCTAAATGTGTTAGGAGTTCATCACAAAAGACTTGACACAAGTTGTAACAATCTAAAATAAGGGTATTTGAAATAAATGGAATATTGAAGATTTATTATATTTAACTAATTGAATTAAGATAATAATAATAATAATTATTATTATTATTACTATTATTATAATAATAATAATAATATTATTATTATTATTATTATGAAAATATCTAATTTTCTTTGAAATGATATTCAAATTTTTTTCTAAAAAAAACAGGGGAATCTTTTAATAAGAATTAAATAATTTTTTAATTGGTGAAAAAGAAATTGTGTGTAGTGGTTTGGAAAGGTAGCAAAAATTTGTGATATTCTCCATATATATATATATATATATATATATATATATATATATATGACTTTCCTTTTTTTTTTCAATGGAGAGGGTGTGTATATATATATATATATATATATATATATATATGTATGTATATATATATATATGTATGTATGTAGAAGCTATTCTATAAAGCTTCAAAAAAAAAAAAAGAGGGGAACTTGGGGAAGGACGAAACTGCGAATCGAGGGTGAGAATTCGGTTTTTTAAGCGTTCAAGCATCGATAAGGTTATTAGTCAGGGAGATCATTCGATAATCTACACCGTCAAGTGAGTCTTCATGAGATTTCAACTGAGATGCATGCTTACGTACAAATTATTTGAGCATTACATTATTATTTTTTATGTACATGTTTATGGGTTTATTACATGTATATGATCATTATTGTGGGTTGCATGTTATTTATTTACATGTTTTTTTAAACATCAATTAGCATGTTATAAAAGAAGTTATATTTTTGTCGGGTATAGGAAGGGGTTAAAAGTCATAAGGGATGGCACATCCTAGGGAGGGGTAACCGGACAAAGGATAGTCGTGTAACCCGGGGAAGTGCGATGACGGTAAGACCTTAACCCGACGGGAAATTAAGAGATCTCATTATTAGTTCAAAAGGATTTGAAACAAATGTGCATGTTATTTTATTTCGGGTATTGTTTATTTTATGCATGATGTGATATGTATGATTGTGCATAAAAACCATGAACTCACCAAGCTTTATAAAGCTGACTATTAGTATGCATCTCAGGAGCTGGGTATTCAAGAACGGAAAAGGGCAAAGGTTCTGCGTAGGAAATGGAACTTTTGTTCGAGTTAGGAATTATAAAATCCGTAGTAGTTTAATTGAATTTATGTGTAATGTAACCCGATATGGGATGGGTTAGTTTTGAGATATTTATTTACGATTAAATTATTGTAAGACTTCGCTGCAATAAGGCTTTATTAGCCGCTAGAATTCGGATTTTATTTTATTTTATTACGTGGCACCATGTAATTGAAATAAGGGTGTTACAAGTTGGTATTAGAGCCATTAGTTTAAGAGAAATAGATATAATATATATATATATATATATATATATATATATATATATATATATATATAGCCTAAGCTTAAACTTGTGAGGTGTTTAGTATCATTGTATACGTTGCAATTAAGTATGTTTTATTAATGTGTGACTTAGTGTTTTCCTTGTGGTTTTGTAGGAAGATGGTGCACACTATACACACTAGGTCTGTTAACCGTGGGAGAGGACATGGGCGCAGAACTATAGGACAGAGGGTACCATTCGGACTAGGCCCGCATTGTGAATGTATTGATAGCCGTCACACCAGTGTGACACCCAGTTGGAACCTCATACCCAGGGGTGACAATCCAACATCCCCAAGGAGTAACCCAACTCAGGGTTCGTTTCAAGGGACACCTGTGGTAGCGCAGCCTCCCACGTACCCCAACTTGGAAGAAAGGATAGAATCCCTGCAAAGAGAGAAAGCTGAGCTGTGGAATAAGTTGGCCTACCTCGAATGGGACAATGATAGGTTTAGGGGAATGCTCGACAACCTACAACGGGCTTAAATAAGGCTGATAACAGATAGGGATAACCTACGAGGAGAGAGAGATCTTTTGAAACTAAAGTTGGCTCAAGAACGGAGAATTGTCGTCCGGTCATGGCGCACTCGGGTAAGGGATAGGACTAGCTTTTGCAAGATGGTAACTACTGAGTATGTCGGGATCGTGAAAGGATATTTTGCTGCATGGGTCAAAAATTTAAAAATGGGTCCAAGGGCAAACCCAATATGGAAATTCAAAACATCATTGACTTATGCACAGTGGATTAGAGACCTCTATCTTCCCGAGATGCCTTAGGGATATGGATAGCCATAAAGAGAGATTTTTTTTAGTATTTTGAATTGATGTTTAGCTTGGGATGTTTTTGCTAGCTAATACTTTGATGATGATTTAGTAATCCCGAATTTTGATAGTTATAGTAGACTTATGTATTGACTGTCTCTATTTTTGAAATTCGTAACATGAATAATAAATTATGGCTTTATGGTTTGAAATGGTGGTAGTCATTTCTTTTTTTTTCAGTGGTTGCATGTATTTAGTATTTAGATTTTAATATCATGCTACTATATTCAGTATGGTATCACGTGGATCTACAAGAAATGCCACTAACGGGGAGGGAGTTGGAAATCAGCCACCACCAACAGGAAGGGGCCGCGGTCGCAGTCGAGGTTGTGGCCATGGTCACGGTAACACCGCAAGCTTAAGTGAAACTTTTTCTGTGGATGCAAGCTCGGCCACCCATAGGGTACGAGAGCAAAATCAAGGAATTGGAAGAGGAGAAAACGATGTTACCGATGAGGCACTAACTGAAAGGATGACTCGAGTCCTCCAAATTACCCTTCCAAGCATGCTAAAAGCCATATTAGGTGATAGGTTCAAAGGCCCCGAAGAGGAAGAGGAAGCAAGCACCCAGAAAGGGAAGACAATGATTAACTCCCAACCCACTGAAAAACAATGGAGTCGTCCGTCCAAGGGAAAGATGAGCCACCAATGCAACTGAGGGTGGAATCCCAAACCAAGGAAAGGGGTTGCAGTTACAAGACTTTTAGTAGCACCCGTCCGAAGGAATTCAGAGGTATTGTGGGCCCGGTAGCCCTAATGAACTGGGTGACTAAAATGCAAAGCTGTTTTAAGATTTGTAAGTGTTCAGAAGAACAAAAGGTGACTTACGCGGCTACTACCTTTGGAGATTCAGCACTTCATTGGTGGGAGACTGAATACGCCATTCGAGGGGATGAAAACATCGCTACCCTGACGTGGGAGCAAATGAAGAAGATGTTTATGGATAAATATTGTACGCAGACAGAGGTGAAGAAGTTGGAGTCGGAGTTCCTGAGGTTGGAGCAAGGATCTTTGTCTGTTCAAGAATATGTGAACAAATTTCTAGAAAAGGCTAGGTTTGCTAGTTATCAGGTGGCAACTGAGCAAAGAAAGATAGATCGATTTAAGGATGGCCTAAGAATAGAGATAAAACAGTACGTGGATATGGTTAAACCAACCACGTTTGTTCAAGCTGTGGAAATGGCGACTGTTGCGGAGGAAAATAACATCAAGGCAACTAGGAAGAGAAGGGAGGTCAAAAGGAAATGGGAAGCATCAAGTAAATTGACAAAGAAATCCAAGGGGGAGATGACAGATACGAAGGCACGAAATGGAGAGTTCACAATTCATCAGTGCACCAAGTGCAATCGAAGACATAGGGGTGAATGTTGGGAAGCAAAAGTGACATGTTTTCGATGCGGAAAACCCGGGCACACATCAAAGGAGTGTACTGAAAGCAAACTTTGCTATGATTGTAGGACATCATGTCATATACGGTCTGAATGTCCTAAAAACCAAAAGGGGACCATAAGCAATGTTAGAGTTTCAGGTAATGGGTCAGGAAGAGGGGCGGAGAAGAAGAAGGAATTACCTAAGGGACCAGAACGAGCATACAACATGACTTTGGAGGAGGCTAGGGAGTCTCCTGACGTCGTATCGGGTATGTTTCTTGTAAACAATGTTTATGCTCATGTACTGTTTGATTCGGGTGCAAATGGTAGTTTCGTGTCTTCTACTTTCCGCCACTATTTGAATAAGGATGCTTGTAGACTAGGGAAGAGCTATACTGTAGAAACCGCTGATGGCAGTCAAGTTAAAATAGATGAAATAGTTTATGGGTGCACGATCCTATAGATAGTAGAGAATTGCCTGTTAGGTTAATGCCTATGTGTTTAGGAGGTTTTGATGTGGTTCTAGGAATGGACTGGTTATCCGAAAACCAAGCACAAATAGTGTCCCACCAAAAGATGATCAAAATTCAAACCCCCGAAGGGCAAACAATTCATGTGTATGGCAATCGCAGGAAGTGTGGTACGGGGATCATCACAACACTAAAAGCGAGAAGGTGCCTTCAGAAAGGGTGCACTGCTTATCTAGCGTATGCGGTCGACGCTAAGTTAGAAAAGGGAACGGTACCAGTGGTAAACGAGTATCCAGAAGTTTTCCCGGTTGAACTATCAGGACTACCACCAGAACGTCAAGTTGAGTTTCGTATTGACTTAGTGCCAGGTGTGGCTCCTGTTGCACGAGCACCTTATCAGTTAGCCCCAACAGAGATGCAAGAGTTGATGAAACAACTTCAGAAGTTGTTAGACAAAGGGTTTAGTAGACCAAGTTCATCGCCATGGGGAGTACCAATCCTATTTGTAAAGAAGAAAGATGGCTCAATACGAATGTGCATTGACTATCACGAGCTTAACAAGCTCACGATCAAGAATAGATACCCGTTGCCAATGATTGATGACATATTTGATCAGTTACAAGGAGCTAGCCACTTCTCGAAGATTGATTTAAGATCAGGTTACCACCAGTTGAAAGTCCGAGAAGAAGATGTGCCAAAAACTGCTTTTAGAACTCGATATGATCATTACGAGTTTATAGTAATGCCCTTTGGACTGACAAATGCTCCAGCAGCATTCATGGACCTGATGAATAGAGTATGTAGGTCGTATCTGGATAAGTTTGTCATCGTCTTCATAGACGATATTCTTATTTAGTTGAAAAGCGAAAAAGAACATGAGAAACATTTAAGAACTATTCTGGAACTACTGATGAGAGAGAAGTTGTATGCCAAATTCTCGAAATGTGAATTCTGGTCATGAGAAGTGCAATTTCTCGGTCATGTGGTCAACTCGGAAGGAATTAAGGTGGATCCGGCAAAGATAGAGGCCGTCATGGATTGGGAGTCGCCAAAATCTGCATCCGAAGTCCGAAGTTTTTTGGGTCTAGCAGGCTATTACCGAAGATTTATCAAGGACTTCTCCAAAATAGCAACGCCTATGACCAATTTGACAAAGAAGTCAATTAAGTTTGATTGGGGAGAAAAACAAGAAGAGGCTTTCCGAACCCTCAAGACCAAGTTGAGTAGCGCGCCAATCCTTGCCTTACCGGAAGGAACAGAAGACTTTGTTGTTTATAGTGACGCCTCTAAGATGGGTCTGGGTTGTGTACTAATACAACGAGGCAATGTTATTGCTTATGCATCACGACAATTAAAGGAGCACAAAAAGAAGTACCCAACCCATGATATGGAGTTAGCTGTAGTAGTATACACGCTGAAGATTTGGCGACACTACTTGAATGGTACAAAATGTATGATATATTCGGATCATAAGAGCCTGAAGTATCTTTTTGATCAGAAGGAACTGAATATGAGGCAAAGGAGATGGATGGAACTCCTCAAGGATTAAGATTGTGAAATCCATTACCATCTCGGCAAAGCAAACGTAGTGGCCGACGCTTTAAGTAGGAAGGAAAGAGTCGAGCCTATTCGAGTGCGGGCCATGTGGATGAGCGTAAAGGTAGATATGGTAGATCAAATCCAAGATGCTCAAAAGGAAGCCTTGATTGAAGCAAACATTAAGAAGAAGAGGATGGTTGGGCAAATTAAGTCACTGACCGTCGGGTCAGATGGAATACACATATTTGGGAATCGAGTGTGGATTCCTAACTTAGGTGATTTGAGAGGCAAGGTACTAGATGAGGCACACAAGTCTAAGTACACTATGAACCCGGTTAGCGATAAAATATACAAGAATTTGAAGGAGAGCTACTGGTGGCAGGGTATGAAGAAGTCAGTAGCTGGGTATGTGGAGAAGTGTTTGACTTGCCTACAAGTGAAGATAGAACACAAGAAACCATCAGGAATGTTACAACAGATGGAAATACCAGTGTGGAAGTGGGATATGATAGCAATGGACTTTGTTACCAAGCTACCAAAGACGATGAAAGGACGTGATACAATCTGGGCGATTGTTGATCGATTGACGAAGTCCGCTCACTTCCTACCGATCAGTGAAAAATATACATTAGAGAAGTTAGCTCAACTATATGTCAACGAGATTGTGTCAAGGCATGGTGTGCCGATATCAATTGTCTCAGACAAGGATGCCAGATTTACATCGAGATTTTGGTCAAGCTTCCAACAAGAGATGGGGACTCGATTGAATTTAAGCACTGCCTACCACCCACAAACCAATGGTCAAAGTGAAAGAACGATACAAACACTTGAAGATATGCTAAGGGCATGCACTATCGATTTTGGGGGTAGTTGGGACAACCACTTACCATTAATAGAGTTCGCATACAACAATAGTTATCATTGGAGCATTAAGGCAGCACCTTTCGAAGCCCTATACGGTCGAAAAAGTGCAGAACATCTATGTGTTGGGCGGATATCGAAGAAAGGCAGTTGGCTGGGCCAGAGTTAGTTCAACAGACGTTAGATAAGATAGCACAAATCCGAGAAAGGTTGAGGATCGCGCAAGACAGACAAAAAAGCTATGCGGATAAAAGGCGTAGGCCTCTAGAGTTTCAAGTTGGGGATCGAGTGATGTTAAAAATATCACCCTGGAAGGGAGTAGTTCGTTTTGGTAAACGTGGAAAGCTAAGTCCAAGATATGTTAGACCATTCGAAATCATAGGAAGGGTGGGGGCGGTGGCATATCGTTTGAAGTTGCCTAAAGAATTACAAGGGATTCATGACACATTCCACGTGTCAAATTTAAGGAAATGCTTAGTTGACGAATCAGCAACTCTAGCATTAAAAGATGTGAAGATCAATCAAAAATTGGGTTACATCGAATAACCAATTCAAGTCTTGTACAGAAAGATGAAGAGGTTGCGAAACAAAACCATTCCATTGGTCCTTGTAAAGTGGAAATTTCACAAGGGGTCAGAAATGACGTGGGAACCGGATAGGGATATGAGAGCCAAGTACCCACATCTGTTCAACGATGAGTGATTTCAGGGACGAAATCCTATTTTTAGGAGAGGAGAGTTGTAACACTCTAAAATAAGGGCATTTGAAATAAGTGGAATATTGAAGATTTATTATATTTAACTAATTGAATTAAGATAATAATAATAATATGAAAATATCTAATTTCTTTGAAATGACATTCAATTTTTTTTAAAAAGAAAACAGGGGAATCTTTTAATAAGAATTAAATAATTTCTTAATTGGTGAAAAAGAAATTGTGTGTAATGGTTTAGAAAGGTAGCAAAAATTTGTGATATTCTCCATATATATAAATGACTTTACTTTTTTTTTCAATGGAGAGGGTGTATATATATGTGTATGTAGAAGCTATTTTATAAAGCTTCAAGAAAGAAAAAAAAAAGAGAAGAGGGGAACTTGTGGAAGGACGAGACTGCGAATCGAGGGTGGGAATTCGGTTTCGTAAGCATTCAAGCATCGATAAGGTTATTAGTCAGGGAGATCATTCGATAATCTACACAGTCAAGTGAGTCTCATGAGATTTCAACTGGGATGCATGCTTACGTACAAATTATTTGAGCATTATATTTTTTTAATGTACATGTTTATGGGTTTATTACATGTATATGATCATTATTGTGGGTTGCATGCTTTTTATTTACATGTTTTTTTAAACATCAATTAGCATGTTATAAAAGAATTTATATTTTTGTCGGGTATAGGAAGGGGTCAAAAGTCATAAGGGATGGCACATCCTAGGGAGGGGTAACCGGACAAGAGATAGCTGTGTAAACCGGGGAAGTGCCGATGACGGTAAGACCTTAACCCGACGGGAAATTAAGAGATCTCATTTTTATTTTAAAAGGATTTGAAACAAATGTGCATGTTATTTTATTTCGGGTATTGTTTATTTTATGCATGATGTGATATGTATGATTGTGCATAAAAACCATGAACTCGCCGAGCTTTATAAAGCTGACTATTAGTATGCATCTCGGGAGCTGGGTATTCAAGAACGGAAAAGGGCAAAGGTTCTGCGTAGGAAATAGAACTTTTATTCGAGTTAGGAATTATAAAATCCGTAGTAGTTTAATTGAATTTGTATGTAATGTAACCCGATATGGGATGGGTTAGTTTTGAGATATTTATTTACGATTAAATTATTGTAAGACTTCCGCTGTAATAAGGCTTTATTAGCCGCTAGAATTCGGATTTTATTTTATTTTATTACGTGGCACCATGTAATTGAAATGAGGGTGTTACACAAGCGTAGAGAGTTTGTTGTTTTGCAATGCAAAGCAAATGCCAATGTTCCATTAGATGTTGTTACTAGATGGAACAACACCTATCTTATGCACTCGTGTTTGTTGAAATGATTACTTTGCAAACTGATGTCGTCTTGAAGTGAGTTGCAGCCTCAATGAAATCCAACTTCAACAAGTATTGGGGAAGCTTCGATACATGAACAAGATTATCATGATAGCTAATGCTCCTAATCCTCGATATATATAAACTACAATGGGCTAAAGTAGCTATGCAAAAGGTTAACCCAAAACAGTCGAGGCACTCAGCTGCACAAGTGATTGGTTAAGGGCCTCTCCCACAAATTTCAACTTACGTGATCATCCTATGGAAGACGCCTTAAAGATGTACCATGACTTGGAAGAACTTGAGAGAGGTAAGATATTATTTTAATATAAGAGTTGTTATTTGTTTGTATATATAATTGGTTTTAAAATATAATCCCTTTTTCCAATAAAATTTGTAAAATATAAATAATAAAAATGTCATATATTTTTAGATTTATTAAACAAAATTATGCATTTTTTTATTTATAAAAATTAATCAATTATTTTTTATTAAAATCACAATTAAAAAACGAGAAAGAAAACTATAAAAAAAAGTTAATGAAATT